TAGATTGATTGTTGTTCCCTTGTCCCTGGGTTTGTTAACACCACTCCCCCGCCTCCCCCTCTCCCATGTCCCTATTGGTCCCCTGTTTCTCCTCCAGATTGTTTATCCTGCCTATCTTATCTAGATAGACCTGCAGAGATAATAATATGCACAAAGAACAAGACAGCAATACAAAGCAACAAAACAACAACAAAAACACAATGACAAAAAAAATAGAAAAGCCTATAAATAATTCAAGGTCTGTTTGTTTCCTGTAGGAGTGTTTTCAGGCTGTGTCTGATGGGGTGCCACGGCCTGGTATTCCCTGGGGACTTAATTGATCTGTTCCCCTTGCTGTTCTGTTGCACACTCTTAGTGTTTCCCCTTGGTGTGGTGAGGTCAGATCGGGCACAATTCCCGCACTGTGTCTCCAGTGTTGTCCCCTGTAGCACTATGGGTCAGTGAGGGACATCATGTCTCATAGTAGGGCCGGCCCTATGGTCTCTGTGCATTGGCTTCTCTGAGCAGGAATATAGTCCTCAGGGATTGGTGGGCCGGGGTATGCTCTACTCTCTCTTCCTCCCCCTTCATTGGCTCCTGTGTGCTCTGATCAGACATTTCTCTTTCCCTGAGCTGTAGCTTCAGTGCTGTCCTCTGAAGTTAATTCTTCTGGGGGCAAGGGGGAGCTGTCCACGTAGTTGGGATTGGAGCCGGTCCCTCAGACCTCTCTATTGGTTCCCTGCTTCATACAAATATGTTGCATTCTCGTGTTGGAGGACTGGGTTGAAGTCTGGTCCCTCTCTCCCTGTGGAGATATAAACAGCCCACCTGTTGGGTGGGTTAGTGACCAAACCAGCTATATCTTATACCTTTGTAAAATATTAGATTTTTGAAAGGTATGTCTTACACCTTTGTAATCCTTAAGAGTTTCTACTGCAAAAATAATTCATTTTGCTTTGGTTCAGCAATCTATAGCTCCACTTTTTCTCCTGCCTCATAATTATTTCATAAACTGTATGATTTACAAAGAGGTGTTTTATTTTATAATAGCTAACATTTATTGAGTCCTTACGATGTAACAGACTTCTCGAAGTGCTTTCGCTTTATTAACTCTGGGAGAAAGATGTGGCAACCTGTTTCTGTAAAGATTATGCTGATCTACTGTAGGATGTTAGGATAAGAATCAATTGGATGCAGTGGATTTGGTTTGGTTTCCATTAATCTGGGGGACTCCCCCCTTTGTTTCATCATAGGGAAAGGTCATCACATCTGATCACTACAATGATGTCGTGGATGAGCGTTCCATTAGTAAACTCTGTGGTTATCCTTTATGTCAGAAGAAACTGGGAATAGTAAGTAAACTAGCCTTTTTTTTTTTTTAACATAAGCTCTTTTTATGTGTAGTAAAATACTTTGTAGACGCTGTTTAACCCTATAACACCAAGTGTGACGTTTTCATAACATTTAATTAAATGTACATATTAATATATATTGATAGCCATGAAAGTAAAGAATAAACACACGCAAAAATTTTTCCCTGAAATTAAAAATTCAGGCATTATAGGGATACAGCTTTTGTTTGTGATTTGAATTATTTTCTAAGCTGTGGTTTCTTTTTATTAGGTTCCAAAACAGAAATATAAAATTTCTACAAAAACCAATAAAGTCTATGATATTACTGAAAGAAAGGTAAGTTCATGGGTTATTTTCAATGTGGTGCTATTAAAGTTATAAAATAACTTTTTAAAATCTTAACTTTGGGAGAAGAACCATAAAAACATTTGCATTTATTTGTAAATAGGATTAAAAACACAATTTAACTTGAACGTTTAAAAGTGAAAGTGCATATTGGCACAGCTTTGCTAGTGTTAGGTACCATTGAGTCAAATCATAGCGACCCAGTGTACAACCGAACAAAACACTGCCCGGCCTCTGCCATCCTCACAGTGGTGATCGATGAGCCCTTTGCCACTTTCTGCTCCTCTCTGGTACATCCTAATTTCTTCTGTTCGCTTTAGCAGCAACTCTACATTTCAGAGCACATTTCAGTCCCTGCTGACAGTCACTGTAGCCTTTGGTTGCTTGCTTTCTGGTTTTTAAATGAAATTTGACTTCATGGGTGATGTTCTTGAAGTCATCTCACAGATCATCAGGCTTTGGTCATTACTGTTCAGTGTATCAAATCTGTATCTGAAGTGGTCTCTCAAATCAGATGGGGTGTACTCAAGGCCACATTCTGGTTCTCACGAACTTGTTTTCATTTTCTTCAGCTTCAACATGAGCTTTCCTTATGAGCAATTGATGGTCTGTTCCACAGTCAGCCCCTGACCTTGTTTTGGCTGATGATATCAAGGTTCTCTACGATCTCTTCCCACAGATGTAGTCAGTCTGATACCTATGTGTTCCATCTGGTGAAATCCACAGTATAGTCACGGTTTATGTTGTTTGAAAAAAGTATTTGCTATGAAGAAGTCATTGTTTATCATGCAGTCTCAAGAGCATTCCTATCACCAAAGCCATGTTTTCCAACTACTGATCCTTCTGCGTTTCTAACTTTCACATTTTAGTTGTCGGTAGTTATCAATGCATCTTGACTGTATGTTTGATCAATTTCAGATCAAAGAAGTTGGCAGAATTCTTTAATTTCTTCATTACTAGCTTTAGTAATTGGTGTGTAAATTTGAGTAATATTTGTATTCGTATAGATCTGATCACAAACAATACTATACTTCAAAATAGAAATTGAAGTGATCTTTTCCTTTTATCCTGGCATAGTCACCTATATGATTGATGATTCAGAATGACCAGCCCCAGTGCACTGCAGCTCAGTGTGATCGGCCGAGTTGGCTAGGGAAGCAAACCCAGAGACATTCATGTGTAAGGAAGAGCTTTCTATCAGCAGCTATATATTGAGAAAACCTCCCAGCCCAGTCCACCTCACGTCCGTAAGTCCCGTGCTAGTCCATAGGCCCTCTTCAGACTCACGCAGTCACAAGCAACGATGCAAAATGCAGGAAGTTCCCAGACCGGTGAGTGCAGTCTTATGGCAGTGGACCCATCTCCAGGTCTCTGGCAGCAATCAGGGTCAGTCAGCAGGAAGTTTAAGGCAGAGGCAGAGTGGTAGGGGCGTTTCCCAGGGCCCTCCTTTTGAGAGGGCCACACCCGCAAGGAGGCACCATCAAGTTGTGACCTGATTGACAGGCTGACCTCTACCCCTACACTTTTATATATATATATATATCTTTAAGTTGACATGAAATTACGTAACTACCACACCTAGGCTATCACTATTTTTTTTCTTTTAAATAATTGTAATATTGGCGTGCTTGCACATCCAATACGTCCATTCACATACGTTGCTGTTCAGTCCCATCAAGTGGAGTTATGCATCCATCAATGCCATCAGCTCCCCAGCTCCCCCATCTTTTTCCTACCCTCGGCACCGTTACTCCTGTTACGCTTCTGTAGAGCTATCTATCTTTACTCTCTTATACTGAACAATCTTAAATATACAAATGAGCATACGCAAATGTAACATGATTGATGAGGAATATCAAATGTCAGCCTTAATAGTGAGGGGAGGAAATCTGAAAAAACTAGCAGATAATTATGTGATTCATCAGTGCCATTCCGCACCCTGGATTTATCATCCTTTCCATGTGGCCCTGAGAGGGACTGCCCAATTACCCTGCCAGGTGGATTTTAGGCTATCAATTTTTATGTGTTCATTTCACTTTTCGACAATTTCTAATTGTCAGAGTCATACTTTGTTCCATATTTCTACTATTAATGGATGTTTGCAGCTAATCTCAATGAGTTGTGCCCCATCAGCAAATTGACATCCTGAACCAGTGACATAGCTTCAGTATTACAACACGCACGCCACCACAGTGTGACAACCAACAGGCCAGTGGTGGTTTGACATGTAATTACAATTAAATCATGAACAGAAGAGAGAACTTTAAACACACTCCCAGTTCTGTGGACACTGATAGAGGGCAATAGAGGTATTGCAGACAAGTGGAAAAAGGATGGATATGTTTCCATCAGTGGGCCTGCCACAGTAGTTATCCATATGAAACACATGGATATTAATTCCTATAAATATCAATTTTAGATAGATGAAGACATAATGTAAAAGGCAAAATTTTTCAAAGATTATGTGAGAATATTTTAATTTATTTTTTTGAGAATATTTTCATAAACAAGATAAGGAAATATTTCTTAAGACAAACTTATAGATGGTAGAGGAAAAGATTGATAAATTTGTCAAATTTCAAAACTTATCAGAAGTTTTAAAAAAGGAAATTACAGTTAAAAGAGTCATTTCTCACATATCATAGATTCATATTCAGAATCTACATAAGACAACCTAATAGAAAACTGGATAAAAACTTGAAATAAATGTTTCACAGAAGGAACTTAAGTGGTTAATAAATATTTGAAAAGGCACTCAACTTTATTTGTAATCAGGCAAACGGCAATTAAAAACAGACTGATTTACATTTTCACAGCCCATTAGGTCTTTTAAGACTACTGTGGTAGTAAAAAAACCATACAATCTTTTTGAAAAACTAATACAGTAAAGTTGAACTTGCACATACTTTATAACCAATTCTTCCTATTTTTTGATACCCTGGAGAAATTCTTACCCATGCACACCAGTATGCATGCATAAGGATGTTCGTAGCAGTATTATATTGGGTGGTAATAGGAAAAATCGAAACTCAGTTGTCCGTAGGCAATAAAGTATATTGTACTTGCACAGTGAATTATAATGCGCAAGGAAGATGAATAAAGTATTTCACCAGTGAGTCTTCTAAGCATAGTGTTGAACAAAAGAAGCAAGGAAGAATACAAAACAATGTGATTCTGTTTAGATAAAGACTAAAAATAGGCAAAACTGAAATGGTATTGGTACCGTTAGCTTAGGAGGTTTAGTCATGTAATTGTACTTCATTTATTTTCTCTGCATATTACCACATACATAGGTTAAAGAACAGTAAGAATTATTAACACAAAATTTAGGACAATAATTACCTCTGGGCATGTGAAGATTGATGCGGTTTTAAGGAGGGGCAAATGGGCCTTAAAAGTGTTCTGCCTATTTCTTACCTTGAGTGAAATAGGTTTTCATTTTATGTATTTATAAAACATTTCTCCTTATGCTCTGTACATAAGTTTTCACAATATGAATAAATAACATACAGGTTTTTATTTTTTAGTGTTTTTGCAGCAATTTTTGTTACAAAGCATCCAAGATGTTTCAAGCACAAATTCCAAAAACTCCAGTATGGATTCGAGGAGAAGAAGAAAGGTAATTTAAGTTACTAGTGCATGTGTATATTTGTTTATATGTTATTTTAATTGTTCCTTGATACATGGAGAAATTAAGTCTTTTTCCATAGACTGTTAACATTGTACGTACTTTAAATGTAGGACAGTGGTTGTAAATATATATTTTTAAAATCATTTTATTGGGGGCTCATACACCTCTTATCACAATCCATACATACATCAATTGTGTCAAGCACATTTGTACATTCATTGTCCTCATCATTCTCAAAACATTTGCTCTCCACCCAAGCCCCTGGCATCAGCTCCTCATTTCCCCCCCCTCCCTCCCCATTCCCCCCTCCCTCATGAAACCTTGATAGTTTATAAATTATTATTTTGTCATATCTTACAGGGACAGTGGTTATATTTTAAGTACAAAATTTTACACTTAAAAGTCAGAAATTTATGTTTACAAATGTTATTTATCGGTTTGTTATTTACTGAATTTTTTTTTTTATTTACAAATCCTGAACTTTATCTCTGACTTCCTGCTATGACAGTTGTGTCTAGGAATCCTTCTAATCTAAGCATCCTAAGATAAGTGTGTTCCATTTTTCAGAAGACACTGGATCTTGAGACACAACTCAACTCTATGTTGTTTATAGTAGGAAGTTTTCGTAATAATAGCAGTAGTACTAAGATTAGAAAGCTCAGGTTATTTATTTGTTCTTCATTAAAATCAGGGAGGTATTTTATTGATTTAAATAAAGTCAATTTAGAGTAATGTTTTTAACAAAAATAAATGCTATGGAGTGCTAAGATTTTATTTCCTGGGAAAAAGTTAAACATTTGAAACATTTTACTAGATGTTGAATTGTAGGAGAAAATATTGAGACAGAAATGGTATAATATTAAAAGGTCATAAATTATTATTATGAGAGTGAAACTACGTTAACTAGGGATTCCAAAGAAAGGATTAAATTAATAGCATTATGTCCCATTTAATGCCCCATAATATTTGCTAGAAGTTATAACAACAGAAAGGAGCTGTGGTGACTTAGTAATGTGTTGGGCTGTTAACCACAAGGTCAGCAGTTCAAACTCACCAGCCACTTTGAAGGAGAAAAATGGGACTTTCTGTTCTCATTCAGATTTACAGTCTTGGAAACCCACGGGCAGTTTGACACAGTGGCAGTGATCATGGTTTAGTGTAACAGCACCGCCCATTGTCATGGAGTCAATTCCAACTCATAACAACTCGATGGGCTTTCCAGGGCTGTAAGCTGTAGAGAAGCGAGGTGCCACATCTTCCTCCCATGGAATATCTGGTGGCTTCAACCACTGCTCTTTTGGTTAGCATCTCGGTGCTTAATGACTGTACTACCAGGGTTCCTTTATAACAACACAAGGCAGTGATATTTACAGGAGATAGCTAGCAAGGAACCAAATAAACCTAACCACAATTTAGGCATAATGAGATGGTAATTAACCAAATGATACCATGCATGGTAAGTAGAAGGACAGGGAAGAAGATGAAGACCCTCAACAAGATGGATTGGCAGTGGCTGCAGCAGTGGGCTCAGACATGACAGTTGTGAGGATGGTGCAGGACTAGGCAGTATTCTGTTTTACATAGGGGGAGTCAGAACCAACTTGGCTCTATGTAGTAACAACAGGTGCCTAAAGAACTCTGCCTTAGACTGACAGGGGTGGGGCGGGGAGCTTTACTACATGTACAAGGTGATGTGACATGCTCTCAGTTCATTAGTTTTGACACCCAATCTTATGCTGTTTAGAATATATAATTAAACATAAATGAAGGCGGAAGTGTGCATCGTTTCTTCACCAGCCTTTCTGACTTAATTGCCTGGAGGATGAAATAGTGTGGTATTGTTTAACGTGATTTGGAAATTAAAAATACCTTTTACTTGCCAGTCTTTCTCCATTTTTGGTGTTTCTTGTACCACAGCTGCCTATCATCTCCTCATCCCTACAGCACTTTCCCTAGCCTGAGGGGGAAAGGTAACCATTCTCCACTGTTAAGACTTTAATTTATCCTCAACTTTGCTTCCAAAGTTGTTTTCTCTCCTTTTTAATTTTATCCCTGTATGTCATAACTCTTTACAAATGTTTGTTTGCTTGTTTTTTCTTTTAAATGGCAGAGTTCACTTTGTGCTAAGATGCTCCTGATCTAGCCATGGTATTAGAGATCAACTCATGTACATGTAAAACCTGAACAATGAATAAGGAAGACCGAAAAAGAATTGATGCCTTTAAATTAGGGTGTTGGCACAAAATGTTGCATGTACCATGGACAGACAGGAATGAATGAGCCTGTCCTGGAAGAAGTACTTTGGACATGCTACAAGGAGAAGAACATCTTGCTTGGTATAAATTAAGAAGGGTCAGAGAAAAAGGAAGCTCATCACAGTGGCTGCACTGATAGGCTCAGTTGAAGCAGCAGTTGTAATCGTGTGCAGGTTGGGCTGTATTTTGTTCTAAGACATGAGAGCACCTGCCAGCAGCGTGCCAGCCTCCTAATCTGCTTTAAATCTGTTTGCCCAACCACCATTTCTAGTAGCTCCTCGGCCCAACCACCATTTCTATTAGCTCCTCGGCCCAACCACCATTTCTATTAGCTCCTCTTTTTCTTTTTTTTCCAAATACGGTTACTTGATACTTCCTTGGCTATTTTAAAACTTCTCTTTTCTCTAGTCTTCTAAAACCTCACCATTTTATACACGATCTGCCACCTTTCTCCTAAATCATGAAGCCCTATCACTTTATATATGTAGTTTTAAAATTCTACCTCATCTGTGAGTCCTTTCACGCTTTACTGAAAAATGAAAGATGAAAATAGCCCTAGTTTTCCTACTCTGAACTAATCAGTTTAATTGACATTAAAAGTGTGTTATCTGTGCTTATAAGTATCTTGTAGGCTTTAAAACACAAGATTATAGGGTCCAAGGTGTGAGTTTTGTTGTTAGGTGTGATCCGGTCTGTTCTGACCATAGCAACTCTACGTACAACAGAATGAAACACTTGCTCAGTCCTGCAGCATCCTCACAATTGTTCCTGTGCTTGAGCCCGTTGTTGCAGCCACTGTGTCAGTTCATCCTGTTGAAGACCTCTTGTTATCTGCCCCTCCGTTACCAAGTGAGATGTCTGTCTCTGGAGACTGGTCTCTCCTGACAGCATGAACAAATTATGTAGTACAAAGTCTCACCATCCTTGCCTCTAAGGAGCACTTTGGCCCAACCTCTTCCAAGACAGGTTTGTTTGTTCTTTTAGTAGCCCATGGTACTTTTAATCCTGCTCTCCAGCACCGCACTTCCAACCCTCGCGTTCACCTTGGGTCTTCCTTAGTCAGCGTCCAATTTTCACATCATACGGAGCAATTGAAAATAACATGACTTGGGTCAGACACACTTCAGTCCTATAAGTAGCTATTTCAATAGCTTTTCAATACTCTAAAGAGATCTTGTGCAATAGATTTATCCAGTGCAATCCATTGTTTGATCTCTTGACTGCTGCTTCCATGAGCATTGAATATGGATCCAACCGCGACAGAAGTAAAGCCTTGATGACTTCAACCTTTTCTCCATTTATCTTGATGCTGCCTGTTCATCCTGTCGTGAGGATTGTTCTTCCTTACACTGTAATGTAATCCATACTGAAGGTTGCAGACTTGATCTTCATCGGAAATACTTCAAGTCCTCCTCACTTTCAGCACGCAAGGTTGTGCCATCTGCATATCACAAGCTATTAATAAGCCGTCCTCCAACCCTGATGCATTTTTCTTATTCCTCATGAGCACAATGATGTGTTGTAGAATTCCCCTTCTTCTCAATACTATCCATAGTTTGCTATGATCCACACAGTCAGATGCTTTGGCATAGTCAATAAAACACCAGTACCGGTAAACATCTTTCTGGTATTCTCTGCTGTCAGACCAGATCCACCTGACATCAGCAATAACATACTTTGTTCCACTTCCTATTCGGAATCTGTCCTGGACCTCTGGTAGTTCCCTGTCATGGTACTGCTGCACCTTTTGTTGGATGATCTTCAGCAAAATTTTACTTGCACGTGTTATCAATTATATTGTTCTATAATTTGAGCATTCTGTTGGGTCATCTTCTTTATGGAATGGGTATCAATATGGATCTCTTCCAAGTCAGCTGGCCAAGTAACCATCTGTCAAATTTTCTGGCATAGACCAGTGCTTCACCAACTTGTTGAAACATTTCAGTTGATATTCCAACTATTCTTGTTGCCTTGCTTTTGGCTAAGGCTTCCAGTACAGCTTGAACTTCTTCGTTCAGCACCATTGGTTCTTGTTCATATGCTACCTTCTGAAATGGTGGAACAAGGAGCCCTGATGGTGTAGTGGTTACGCATTGGGCTGTGATCTGCATGGTTGGCAGTTCAAAACCACCAGCAGTTCCTCGAGAGAAAGATTGGGCTTGCTCCTCCCATCAACAGTGAGAGTGTCTGTCTATGAAATGGTGGAATGTCGACTAGTTCTTTTTGGTACAGTGATTATTTTTTTCCATCTTCTCGATGCTTCCTGCATTCTTCAATATTTTGCCCATAGAATCTTTCAGTATTACAACTTGAGGCTTGAATTTTTTCTTGAGTTCTTTTAGTTTAAGATATGCTGATTGTGTTCGCCCTTTTTGGTTTTCAAACTCTATGTTGCACATTTCATTATAGTATTTAACTTTGTCTTCTCAAACTTCCCTTTGAAATTTTCTGTCCATATCATTGACTTCATAATATTTTCTTTTTTTTCCATTTATTTATTTAGTAAGTTTTTATTTAGGATTTTTTCTGGCTTAGTCACTCTATTACTAGGAATAAGGATAATATGATAATACATTTTTCCTATCCTTAGGTAGGAAACTTTGTCAGTCTGGGTAGACTAGAGAAACAAATTCATAGCCACTCAGATATATAAGAGAGAGTTTTATATGAAGTGTAATTGTACATTAAGAAAGTATCCCAACCCAGTCCAGTCCAAGCCTATAAGTCCGATAT